AGAGAAAAAGACCAGGAAAACAAAAACTCTACTCACCAAGACTTTGATCACAGTGAGCGTCACATGCACGTTCACATTGGCTTGTTTCGTTTCTAAAGTGATATCCATCCTCACATGGCATCAAATATCTGCGATGATGAGAGCACTTGATGTAACTTTGACAACTCCGGGGGTTGGGTGTTAATCCATCTTTATCACATTTGAAAATTGGGAGGTCTAACTCATCTACAAATGGAATAAAATCACATTCACTTAAAAATAGTTTTGAATTTTAATTATTTTACAGTTGTAATAAACCTACTTCCCGTCTACCTTGTGACCCAACTAAAGGTGTGGAAGGAAGTGAAGGATGATTCGACCTGATAATTTCCAATTATTTTATTTAGCACTTTAATCGACTCAAACACAATTCACTGCAACACTATAAATAGGATGATCCAGTCAGTCAACAGAGAGAGAGGACGAGAGTCGCGTTTTGGAAGAATACATTTAATAAACTACTTTATATAATAACAGTTCTTCTATTTCAATATTACTTTACACGGTAGGTAACTAATGACCGCTCAAACTTTTAACTACTTTAAACATCAAACGTAATATGAAGGTGACAGTACCTGAACTGTAGGCAGTCTTCTAATCCATTTAATTTATCAATAACAATTTCCTGTGTCTTTAATCTTTTACAAGGCCTTTCTAAACCTTTATGGTAATCTTCACTTTGTATCTCTCTTGTCACCTTTAGTTAACTAACCTTCTAACTTTCTATTATATATACTTCTTTCACTTCTAACTCACTAACCCCCTTAACTCGCGAACTAGAACTATATATAATAAACTTAATTTGCATAACACGCCTTCTTCTTAGGAGAAGATTGATGAATTTTGCTAGACCCAAAGAATTCCCAAGAGGATTAATTGAAGGACGCGTGTAGATCCGTCACACAATATATCAATATGACCTTTATATAAATTTAGAATAACTTTTTATGACTTCACTGTGTTGCAGACCATAAGTACATTTAAATAGAGTCCATTTTAAACTTATTTTGGTTTTTTTTAATCACATCTCTAGGAATGGACATTCAATAAATACCTGTTCCATTTGTACGCTTATTATTCCCCCTTTTTTAGTTAAAATATTTATAAGATTTTGAAATTTTTTATTTGTTCCATATTACATAGAAAACATGGCATTTCAAGATACTTTTTATGTAATTTATTTATTAATTGTTAGATTAAATAAAATCTGGAAGTCACTATACATTAAACATTTGACAGGAATTTTTTCATATTATTTTCTTTCTTCGAGATTTCTTTGTTAAATATAATTTCTTTAGCAATATTTCGTAAAAGAAAAGATTTATCTTAGAGGAGCATAAGATATATATATATATATATAAGATTGTATATTAAATTATAGTAATTGACAGTTAATAATAAAAAAAAGAAACGAGCCTTACAGTAGTCGCATATGATGTGTAACATCTGACATGTTATCGTGGTAAATACGCAATAGTAATTTAAATCCCGAAAAAAATGAATCGGGTATGATTGGAAATAATTTTCTATCGAATAATTATCTTTAATGAAATTTTTATTTAATTAACACAAGGAGTAATGCAATTTTTTATCAAAAATAATTATCACAAAATGATGAAAATTTAATTAGCTTGGTATACGTTTAAATATTAGAAATATTAGAGAAAATCAAAATTACACGCGTAATTAATTAGTTTTTTTAATCGAGAAAACTTTTTTAATCACAATTAAAAATATTATATTGCCAGTGACAAGAATGAACCTCAAAGTATGAAAAAGATACGCACTAGAATATTTATTCGAATAATTCCATATTACTCGTATATTTTTAAGAATGATGAACTTTGTCCGACGTTTAACAGTAAATATAATTATTAATATAGTTTACACATATAAATATAACCTCAGATTTCATACACAACGAGCCCTGAGCCAATTGAGCGTAAGAATCGCAAGTGTATCCTGGATGAAGTCTAATAAAATTTGATGGTATTTGCGAAGCGGATTTAGAGTCGAAAACGAAACCGAGTCTTTGAATTCGAATCTTAAAATGCGAAATTTAACAATATAAAGAAGGCTGGCGGCTTGAGTTGTACCCCGATGTGAGGTCAGCGAAGAGACACCACCAAGCGCGCTGATTGGTAAAATCAAATAGCACGTTTCCCGACATCCTGTTACACATTCCCGTCCCTTTTCACGAAATCACTCCTACAAATATCCAGCAACCGAGAGGAAAGATGTTACACATCAATAATTACATAATAATCTGTGATAATAAAAGTATTCTGAAATAATATATAAAATAAAATCTTTACATATATTAATGCTCTACAAAAATACTCATTCAACACTGTCATTTTTTTGCTCACATTAAAAATTTTAACAATCATTGCAAAATATAACTCCTAATAAGGTATGCTAGACGGACAACGTAATTTATCTTCAAACTGTACAGTATAATGAAACATGAAATTAAGAAAATTTGGCGGTCCTTTGTCATTTTATCTTAAATCAGATACCTTTAAGAGCTCGTGTTTCCTTAATTTGGCTTATTTTTATTTATGCCATTTGTTTTTATTTGTCATTTTATGTGATCAAATGTCTGATAATTATTATGATTCTTATCCCAACTTCTACCTCTTTCTCTTTAAAAAAAAAAACTTAAGCGTTTTAATCTCAAAACTTACCAGTGATAAATAGAGCATAAGAAGATAAAAATTTGTTTATGTTTGAATCAAAATAAAAAAATAAATTCTAATTTAATAGTGGATAAATGTTTAGAAAAAAAATAAGCATCTTCTACATAAGATATTTTACAAATTTCATCGAAAAATTACTATAAACAAAGTAGTACTACATAATTTAAAAAAATTCGAATTTCTAATATTTTCTTACATTTTTAAACACTACACACAATTAAACAAATTGTATTTTAATCTTACCAATATTATTTCCTGAATTTGGAATGATTGAATTATTTTCTACATCTACCTCAAATCCTTCACTAAGTAATGGAACCAAAAAGGCAAGAATATATAAATTCGACATTCTGAATGTGGTCAGAGAGAACTGTTACACCGAAGCGAAATTCGAATTTATGTGTCCGAATTTCGAATAGCTCAATTTCATTTACTTTATGGTTCAAAAACGTTTCAAAGCAGAATCAGCGTCTTGCTCATTTTAGCTAACGTAATTTAAAAACGGCTTGTAATCTTTATTTTTTAAAATGTAAGCATATTTTTTCTTGTATTTTAAACAAAAAATGTTTATTTTCCATCTTTTAAAAATTGAAAGTTGAAGGAAAACTGGGTTTTAAGATAATATAGGTAATGACGTAACAAAGGGGAAAATCCCGAAAATCTAGATCTCCTTATCTAAAATTTTCTGCACTTTTTTCTTCTACAATTAAATTTTAATTGTTTTGTTTACACATAGAAAAGATACACGTGGAATTCATAATTAATGTGAATTGCGTAGAAGGAAAGTGAAATTAATATCTGACGGGTAAAAGCTCTTATATAAAAATCTTCTTAATTTTAATAAATTCATGCATATTATATTTAGATTTAATTCTTCAATCATTTCCATCGCTCTCTAAGAAAAGGGAACAAGTCTGGAGATTTCAATTAGATGTTTTAACTAAAATGTTTTTTTCCCTTCCTTTTTTGTCACTTAACTATGATAAAAAAAAAGAATAGAATTCGTTTATAATTTGAAAAGAACTCTATTTTATTTGTTTTGTTGATAAACATCAGAATGATAAACATATATTATATGGCAAATATCAACACAGGCATAATAGTGACTTGAACCATTCTCATTCATACTTTAAATATAATGGGCTAAATTGAAGAAAGTCACATGACAAAGACAATTACCGCATTTTCTCGAATCTAAGCCACACTTTTTTTCTAATGTTAATGCTACTGAAAATCGGGTAAGGCTCAGAATCGAAGGAGAAAAAAAATTCGTTGGATGGATCGATTAGAGTAATTACAGGTTCATTATAAAACTGGTAAAATATTTAATAATTCACTTCTAATTAGTTTTCTATATTTTTTTTAAATTTCATAAATACTGGATATCGATAAATTATTTTACACTATTTTCCTTTTTCACAAAAACTTGTTGAGAATTTGGAGTGCAGCTTACAGAATCGATGGCGGCTTAGATTCGTATAAACACGGTATGTGTTTTATGACCACTCCAAGTGAATCCGACCAACTAACGAGTTATCGGTGCTGGTGCCATTGGCTCCTGCTTTACTAGTGAACTTCGGGTGATAATTGAAGCTTTTGATTTATATGAGACTCTCCCTATTCTAAAATAGGTTAAAGATCTCGTCATTTTTTGTGTTTCAAAAAGCAGCCCTCCAGGCTAATTCTAAATGGAGCTTCGTAGATTACTGAAAAGATTTATTCTCGCCTGTTTAGATTACTGAAGAGATTTATTCTCGCCTGTTTAGATTACAGAATTTAAATAAAGTCTGCTTTCTTCAATGGGTGCCTGCACATGTTGACATTACAGGCAATGAAAATGCGGATCAACTGGCGAAAGAGGCTAGAAATCTCCATAATGAAAGCTTTGTCAATGTTATCATATTAGAAAAAATGCTGTCGCAAATTTCTAATTGAGAGAGAAGTCAATTCCTGTTAAAGCATCTCTGTAATATAAGTGGAGACCGCCTTATAACAAAGACTGTTGCTTGACTGAGAACATGTCATTACAGAGGAATGAAGATTGATGGGGATGGTTGTTGTTGTTGTCGTGCATTTTCTCCTGGGATACATACGAAAGACGAGAGACAGATGAACAGAAATATACAATACAATCACAGAAGAATATAGACTTTATTTCACACGATGATCCCAACATAGAGCAGAAGGGGTGCACTGTTTTCCATTCGAGACGGGAATGCATTTCAAGCGAAAGTCCGACATCTTTTCCCGAAGATACATCCATGCCTTATTCGGGATTCGAATCCGAGCCCACTCGATTACAAGCCGAGTGTCATTTCTACCATACTGACTGGGCGGCGATAGGGAGGGTAGAAGAACTTATAGGAATTGTGATATCTGTTCACATGCAGAACTAACACCTGCTCATATTTTTGACTGTCCAGCTATTCTTGCTGCTCTACAAGAAATTGGGGCCCTGTTTTCGTCAAAAAACCTGTATGTGGATAATATTGAACAGATTGCCAGAACAGTCATCATGATGCCCATGGTACTGTCTGATTTGGTCTCGTCATGGGCACGACATCAACATTTTGTACTTTCCATTGAATTCAAAACTGACATTAGGATTGTACTTGTTGCTTTTGGACAAAATTTCAAGCTTGATAATTGGATAGGTTTTCAAATATTAAAATTCTTCAAAAAGGTTTTGAAAATTCAAGTTTCTAAATTATATATATATGTACCTTTAAATTTGCATTTTGCTTACCTATTTTAGTTATTACTATTTAAATTAGATAACTTAAGAAATGTATATGTCTTTAATGTTGACCATAGTTAAGTATTTAAAATATACTTTCTTTTTTCTAATTAAGATAAAATTATTCTACATATTTACAATTGAATCATTTCTTCTAAATAATTGACTGGTCATAATTTCGAACACCTACATTGATGATGATCGTTGTCTTTTTAATGTTCTTTTCCTTAGTTTTTTACTGTACTAAGGATAATAAACATTATTTTTCCTCTTATTCATATCCTGCTTTCTTGTGTTTTATATCGTCACGAGAGCGCTAGAAAAGCGTTTCCGACCATGCATTGCTATGTGGTGCCCTGAAAGTTTGTAACTGCAGTACTGATACACCCTGTAGTGTATTGCTACATTGCATTATTATACACGGCTCCCCCCTTCTGCTAAATTGCAATCAGTCTCTTCAACAAAACTTACTAAAATACCTTACACATTCATAAATTAGTGAAATACTCTAGGACAATCTCTCCTACATTCTTCTAACTCGTAAATAAATAATATCCCATACGTTCAACAGATTCTATCACCCATTATGAGATAATTTTTGTAAAACTCGAAGTATCCTCCGATTAAAATAATGCAAAACAAATTACTTTGGAAATCAAAAATAGGTAGCAAACATTAGAAAAAGCATTTAGAAAAGTTTCCGTAGTCTTTTTACTCCGGAGGAAGTATGTGTCATGACAAGAAAATCATTAAACAAGGATTAAAATATACAAGATTTTGCATAAATTAGAACAAATCTAAATACATGTCGGTTTAATAAATTATCAAACATTTCACCAATTAAAATATGTGCGTCCTCCCAGAGAAAAACATCCCTCCCCAATGAAGCCCCTGATGCCAGTGGTGTAACGTACACCCCCGCATCGCGGGGGAAAGGAGCCTCAAAGACAAACTGATACCAAGTACGTAAGATCCGACTTGAGGCCCGAAACCTGACTTTGCAGGAGGGCCCTAATATTCTCCGTTACGCCACAGCCTGATGCAGTAACTTGAAAATAAATTAAAATATTATACATTAGGTGATATTTACCCTTAAACGGTATCAGAAGTGAAAATACCTCCCTCCTTATAAATTGTTTCTAATATTAAAACACCAAATGACTGATGACAATTTTTTTTCCTGGCATTTTATGGAGTCAGGAAGAATACCATTACCATAAAAAAAAAGTTCACTTTCGTTTGCTGCACAACTAAGAAAATTGATTTGGGATGATATTTCATCTGATGCCGTAAGCGCAAATTTTTTTAAAATATTTCGTAAAGATATTTTTTTTGTTAAGTATCGAAATAAAACTTTGTTTCTAGTTGTTGTTGTCGTGTCCTACCCGAAGGGAAGGAAGGAAAGTCAGACAGATTGAACTTCTACACGCTAGATGGCGACACACACTACCTGTCTCTATCTACATAATTTAGGCATGGGCTAGTTTGTTTCTAATAAAACAGTTATAAGCTCAGAAGGAAATGGTTCTTTTTGAAGAACTTTTAATCATTTTATTTGTTGATTCATGATAATATGGCATCTTCAAAATAGATGAAATGGAAAAAATTATGCTAAAAAAGGATAGTTTTAGAGATTATGAGAACAATGGAAGCGATAATGAAAAAGACAACGTAGATGACGTGGAGATAATTTCCAGTTCAGATAAAATTTCCTCAACAAATCCCAATTTGTAGAAAGCTAAATTAAATAACAGTATGTGGTTTAATAAACAGCCTGGTACCCAAATGGCGTGCACAAGGGTGACTCCTGACTCCCCCTAAAAAAGCAATAACAATTAGTAATTCTTTAGAAGCTAAGGGGTTTATTGTTGATAACGAAATGTTAAATTTAATTGCAACTTACGAATCAAGGAATTGAGAGACAACGGATTAATTACTCACATGGAAATTTTTGGTTAACCTCATTCCCCCAAGTCTTCATTACATTTATAAAATAAAATTCACTTATTAAGGTGAAATTGCACCTATGATATCATTAACATGTTTTAATAGATGATATTGAAGCACGCCAAATGTGTTTTCCTGATGATAAACAACTTGTAGGAAATTTGAGTTTTACAGCGAAAGTTAGCTTCCCAGCATGAACGTGGTTACCAGAATGGCGACTTTATCCTCCTTCGCGACAAATGATATCGCCTAGGAACGTCCTCGAGATGTCTCTGGGATCGACCCTTCTGGAAATGTCCATGAGGCCATATAAGGGACCTTTGAGACAAATTCGAATTGATAATCTACTTGTGCATTGACTGCAGCAGAGACTTTGTACGAGCTCCTGTATATAATCTATTATATTTCTTATGAGTACACGTCAGTTTGTCTTTGTGTAATCATCTTTTTGTCAGAGTGTCCATCAATAAATCTGTTAGTATTCAAATAACTGGAGTCATTAGCTGCCCCACTCCCACGCAAATTTGAAATATCTTTTCGGGTTTAAAGTTAAGATGACTACCGTTGCACCTGCAAAATATCGAATTTTCCAGGAAAATTTTTTAAAAAAATGGTTTGCAAAGTTGGAAGCATTTTTGAAGCAAACCTAGTTGAAATCTGACATTTATGTTTTCTGGAATACAAAAAAAGTAAAGATAAAAAAATACATGTTTTTCAAAGCGAAATGCAAACAATCCGCACGAAAACATTTCCAGAGCTTGGAAATTGGTTGATGTGACGTAATCTGGAGAAAACAGCAACCCCTCTTGATAAAGGAAGAAAACGTGTTACGATTTTGAGTGTTAATCGAAATATAAATTCAAAAATGAGAATAAGATATTATTGCTAAGCACAAGTTGTACTGGATTTAGTGAAGAATTGAAACGTGAAAATAAATCGGGGAATCAACATCTGTGGTGCTCTTCGAAAAAAAGATAAAATTCGAATTTGTGAAGCTCCGAAGCGGTTATTCACTCCTAGTACGAACTTTTAAACACGCCCCTCGGCCTCTTCGCCTCGACCAATTGCCGTGAAGTATCTCACGCGATGGGAACCGCAACATCCGTCACTTCCGATATCGCAAATCTCAGATATGGGACTGAGCTGCAGTCCATATGCCAAAGGATTCACTCGTAAGGCGGTCATGCAAAAACGCCAGAATTTTCATAAGACAAAATAAAGGGAAGCGGAATCCACACAAGATGAATAGCGCTAAAACGATTCAAACATCAGACTTAAGGTAAGGGCTCCATTTTATATAGTTTTTCTAAGATAGAAAAAAATCTATCCACAACTTGGCGAGTTTAGTACAATACGTAAGGTACGCAACTTCTGAAATTCCTGCTATGTGTTAGAATTTTTATTTTAGCTGCCCAACATAGATGTATACGACTTTTTTTTTATCACAGGGTCAGAAAGTCAAGATTCAAACTTTTTTTAAAAAAGTTGCAAGTAATGAAATGTAACAAAATTAATACATTAAAATAAAAATACAGATGCGTGTGTGTAAGTAAAACATGCTATAGAAGGGGGGGTACCTTATCAACCTGTACCTGTTTACGAAAGCTCCATAATGGTATGTATTTTTTTCGAATCCTTATATTTCCGAAAATATAGCATATATTTCAAAATTTGATGCTGTATAGCGTAATAAAAACATTCTGATTGTGTGACACTAATTTTTTTAATAGCCGAGTATTTTACTTTTGGAAATTAAGTCATTTCGAAATTTAAAATTTTGCTTCTTTTGCGTTGAGAACGTCCCGATTCCCATAAAAACCAATCTTTAAATTTGATTATATCGATTTCTAAAGTTTTTTTTATGAAGGTGTAGTATATATTCATTCCGTGAGTCTCAGTTTTGTTGGGTGTGATTTACAGATTTTATTCCATAGCATTTTAAGAAAAAAAGCAACTAATTTCAAATTTTGTGACTTTAAGCATGTGGAAAGCTTATTTTTGTTTAAAAAATTGATTTAACAGCAAAAATTAAGTATTTTATATAAACCACAACCACAGATGAATCAAAGTAATGTCTAACCATACAACTTTGGAACCTAATTCCTTTAAAAAAAGATATAAGAATTAAGAGAAATTTCTACACGATTTTGGGAAAAGCACTTGTTGAAAAGCTCATGTTGGGAAAAAGGACGTCATGAACACCAGACCAATCGAGGTGCAGAAAAATGGTTGAGGAAGTGGCGACTATCTCGGAGTTCGAGAAAGTACAGCCTTTGCAGCAAATCGAATGCGAGCATTTATATGATTGGTCGAAAAAATCGGCCATGTTTTGCTAACCAACGATAGTCAACGTCGCTTTGATAAGAAAACCCTCCAACTGTTTCATGTCACATGATTGTTGTAATCAGTATCGCATTTTGAAGCAATATTTCTGCTATTGGCAATATACCACTGAATTTTGAACCTCGGTCCAGGGACAAGGACGCCGCCGAGTTAACACCCCATGACATAGGTAAGATTTATCCGATTGGCTTATGTACTGTAAAAGGTGAGTATTAAGGAGGCTTAAAACAATGATACCCAACCAACCGATCAACGTTTTGTAACTTTAATGTGGTCCGCTAAGGGGGAGGATGTTGATCGTTTATATA